ACCCACTCTCTTGAAGACTTAGCAAGAACAGGTCATCCACCTACTGTAAATGAACCAACACAAAGAAGGATTGTTAATCTTATTACTTCTCAGAGGTGTTCATCAGCTGTTGAAATACGAAACTGACTATAAGAAAAAGAAAATCTTGACTTTTCAATACCTACTATTTATTATATATGTTGAAATAATGAATTAGTAGCAAGGGTTAAAAGAAAAATGTCATACCTTAGTAAAAAACATAAAAATTCTCAATACAATTTTGCAAAAAAGTATGAAAATTAGACTGTTGAGGACTGGTCAAAAGTAATATAGTCTGATAAATCAAAATTTATGAATTTTTATTCAGATAGTAAGCAATATTACTGAAAGTGTCCTGGAGAACTAATAAAAGACTACCATATTAAACCTACAATAAAATTTGGAGGCAGGTTAGTTATGATATAAGGATGCTTTACATCTTGTGATATTAGTGGTTATTATAAGATTGATGGTATTATGAATGCTAACTTATATCAATAAATTCTTTATGGGGATTTAATGAGCACTATCAGGATACATGATTTTACTGTTAAAGACATTATTTTTTAACATGATATAGATCTAAAGCATACAGCAAATTCAACAAAACAGTGGCTTAAGAAAAACAAGGTGATGGACCTAGATTGGCCACTCCAATCCCTGGATCTGAACCCTATTGAACATTTATAAAATGAGGTTGACTGTCAGCTTAGATATCTTTCTAGACAAATTTTAAGTAAAGAGGACTTATGGAATAAAATACAGCAAGTCTGAAAAGAATTCAATGTTAAAACCTATACTAACCTAATTTAATCTATACCAGAAAGGATTCATAATATTATTAAGACTCTAGGAGGATATACGAGATGATAATTATATCAAATTTAAAATATATTTTAAAAAAAAATAATGTTCTGATGTATTAATTTTAGATGTTTTAATTGTTATTTGAGTTGTATTAAAAATGAAAATTTATAAATGCAACAGTATTATCTGAATAATTATACACTTATAAAATAATTTAATTATTAATTAATATTTAAATTTTAGTATTAGGAAATTATAGTATTAATAATAAAAATAATAAAAAAAAAATTTATTTATTTCTGTAATTACAAGAAACATTTCATTTTAATAAAATTTATTTTTTTGTTGATTGCTACTGTATATCATAACTATACATAAAAAATATTAGGTATACATATATAAGGAAATTTATGTAACTATAGGAATTCTTTTTGTAAAAAATTCTAATAAATGTAGTTGTTATAGTTTCTCTGAAATTATTATTGCATGTTTAATTATAATGAACATAAAAAGTTTAAGAATAAGACATTTTGTAAAGGTAATTAAAGTATGATTAATTATTTTTTTATTAATTTATAAAGTTATAGGTAGTATAATAATCAACGATTTTTCCTTTTTTAAAGGAATTATGTAAGAATTAAAGTATGAGTTAAATATTTTTCAGAGGTATGGCTTAAATTCTTTCTTTTGATTCGAACAGTCTTGATTTATGTGTATATAATTAAACTTTAAGAACAATAACATTTTTAGTCCAAATAATGTTCTATAAGAAAAAAAGAGTTATGAATTATTGGCAGATATTTTCTGCGAAAACTTATTGAAATTGAAACAAATATAAGAGTGATATATAATAAAGTATAAAATTATCTTCTTATATGAATTGGTTCAAATGAAAGTGATACAAATAATAATAAAAATCATTTCTAAACCTACAAAATCAAAAAAAAAGTGATTATTAATAAAATATGTATTTTTTTTATTCTTCTCCCTTTCATTCTGTTTATTATTATTATTATTATTATTATTATTATTAGAATATAAGATAGGTAATTTACCATATAGATAATGAAAAATTACATATGAAATACAAAGTGTAAGCGATCACTACTGAAAACAGTATGTAAATCAGATTTGATTTGATAAAAATGCCAGATTGTGACATACTGAAAATTTTAAAGTTGATACTTTCTAAAATACTAAAAGAATTAATTGAAATAGGGTTAATAAAGTAAATTAAAAATGCTTTTAAATAAAATGAGTTTGAATGTGTTGTTAAAAAATTTTGAATTCCAACGTTCTATATATACTTTTCATTATTTAAAAAATGAGAATTATGGTTGTATTATTATAATGATTCTTACGCCAAGCTTGTAAAATTTTGAGAAATTTACTAAAAATAATTACTATAAGTATAGATACAGGTTTAGCTAAATTTAAATTAAAGCAAAATTTATGAATTACCTAAAATAGCTAGTCAAATAATCTTCAAATCTTCTGAGATTTTTTGAAATAGAAGAAAATGATTATGATTAGTTATACAAAATAAATGTTTTCAAAGAAATGGATAGTTTATGTGAAGTAAATATAAACAAAAAGGTAGTATTTCCTATATATTGATCTTAAAATTCAATCAAAAATATAATATAAAAATGAATTATTAAAAAAGGAACATACAATCTAACAATAGGATTATATTTAAAAATTTATTTATTAGATGGGATGTAAACCAAATTTTAATGTTAATTACAGTAACTTAACTATTTTTTGATAGTAAAAAATAATTTAGTAATTACGATGGTGGAGAATTCTTCATTTTTGAATAGATTATACTATAACATCTCTAATGAGAATTACGATTTTTATTGAATCAGAAAGTTACTAGATAATCTTAGGTAATTAATTTTTATAACTATAAAAAAAAGTATAAGTAATTGTAAATAGGGATTGTATATTTTTTTTATCTCATAATTTTAACAAAATTTCAATAATATTAAGCTAATTCAATTTTGATTATTCAGATTTTTGATCAGATTTAAGTTGATAAAGATTGGCTAATGGAATTATGTAACTTGATCAGTGACCTGATTTTCTTGAACTACAGAAATGTAGAATTTTTTGATCGTTTTTGTTAACAAGTAAAAAACGCACTTTCAAAGAAACTATGAATCAAGTACAAAGTAAAGAGAAAACTTCTACTAAACGCACTAATACTTTTAATATTGACTTTACTGATGCTTATAGACCTTTAAAAAAGAAAGTACAGTTGCATGTGAAAGTGATGCCTGATATGTATTAATGTCAAAAATAGTAAATCTATATTGATTTTCATTAAAATAACCATAAAAAATAATTATTAAAAATGGTTAATAATGTGTTGGCCCTTCCTTTGCTTCTAGTACTACATTTATTCTTTGTAGCATTGAAGCAACAACCTCTTCAGAAATGAAGCAATCCAAATTTTTCCATACTTCACTTAATGTAACTTTAGGTTCACTTACAGTTTTTGAAAGAATATTACAACTTTGAATATTGTCTTTTAACTGCTTCCAAATGTTTTCTATTGGAATTAGGTCAGGAGAACTTGCTGACCAATCAATAACCATAATTTTTTTTCTTTTTCAACCAATCCTTGATTATTTTCGCAATATGAATAGATGCATTATCCTGTTAAAAAATTGCAGCCCTTCCTATTAACTCATGAACTGTATGCTGAAATGGATATAGATATGAATTTAGGATTCTAATATAAGTATTTGAATTAATTTTTTTCATTTCCTTCTTTATTTTCATCACAAAATATTAATGGCCCTTTTATTCTTCCTGAAAAACATCCCCAAATCATAATTGATTTTTGATCACTTTTAAAGGTAAGAGTCAAGCATTCAGTATTAAACCTTTTTCCTGTGTATCTTCAAACTTTTATTTGTCATGACAGCTTGTCAATCTCAATACTTAATTCATCTGAGAAAATAATTTGTGTCTAATCATAAACTGATTTTTCTTTATATTTCTTACACCAACTAATATGAGCTAATACATGCTTTTCTGATATAAAAGGTTTTTTTGCAGCAATATAAGAATAAATTTTAATATTATATAATGCTCATTTAGTAGTTGTAATACTGAAATTTAAACTTAGTGTATTAATAACTTCATGTAAAAGTTTGTATAACTCTTGTGTAACTTTATTTATGAATGCATTTTTCTCATTATCATCAAAAGCAGGTGTACATCCTGATCTAGGTAATTTTCAGTTTTTCCTATCTTCTAGTATCTGTCAATAATTCTTCTTATTATGGTAGAATTATGACCCATTTTTCTTGCTATTTGTGTAGGGTTAAAATTCTTCATATATGCTAGCCTAATAAAAAATTTAATATAAAAATTCCATAAAAATATAAAGTTTTATAATGTATAATTTTTATGGAATTTCAGTATAA